GGCCTGGGGCTTCTGAGACGTCACCAGGTGAAAGGAAAGCCCTTTTTTCCCCTGAGGGGCGGCGGTGGTTTTGAACTGCTGACTGTGCCGTTAGCAGCCCAACGCGTCACCAGCCGCCACCAGGGCTCCCTCTGCTCATTACAAACACCCCCGAAAAACGACACAAAGAACCAACAAGGAGTCAAGCGGGCACAGCGATGGCACCCACGGTCCGCGCCGCGCCTTCTGCTCCCGGGGAGAGTGCCGGTCTCGGGACCCACGGGCGTCCCGCCCCGCCCTCTGGCGTCGCTGCCAGCCGGCCTGGACTCCATGGCTGTGCGCTGCTTGTTTTTATCCACAATCGCACAAATGTGGGAACCGGCGAGAAACCCGCCTGTGGAGGAAGGGTAGACCAGCCCTGGTGGACACTCACGCTAGGGGGCTGTGCACCCCTGAGACACCATGTGAGGTTCTCAGACGCCTCGTGACGTGGACGATGGGGAGCCTTGTGCTCAGCACCGAGCCGCCTCATCGAGACAAATACTGCTTGAGACCTTTATTCCGGAAGGAACGGCCCCAAAGAAGCTGACTTTGAGGAGCAGATCGGGGAGGCTCGGGGAGAGCTGCCTTGTTTGCCCAGGGCACCCCCACTCACCGGCCCCTCAGTCCTGGGTGGTCCCAGGTCCCAGGGCAGCCCCTGCTTCTTTCCGGCAGTCCCCACCTAGCCTGTACTCGGGGGTGTCCCTAGCCCAGGGAGGGGCAGGTGGTGCCTTATGGCTCCCCGGGGCTGGTTTACGAAAACTTGCAAAGAAGGACCTAGTGGCACCGTGGGGTACACATCAAGCTGCTCCCTGCAAGGTCGGCAGTTCGAAACCACCAGCCTCTCCAGGGGAGAGAAACGAGGCTCGCTGCTCCCGTAAGGAATTGGGTCTTGGGGAGCCCACAGGGCTGGCTCTACCCTGTCGTATAGTGGCAGGCCTTTGGACCCCCACCCCTGAGAAGACCCCCAGGCTGCAGGAGGGTGGGTTCAGGCCCTGGATGGGAGCTCACCCAGCCCTGGTGGTGGGCAGGGGACAGAGGGGCTCTTGGAAGGCCTGCCTGGGCATACCTCCTGGCACAGGGCATCGGCGCTGGACGTGGTATGGCACACAAGGTCCACCCTTGGCCAGGT